GTGTCTTTCATCTTGGTTCGCACGTGGACCAAGTGAAAATGAAATTCGAACTCATGTACATAGATATATCTACGTAAAACTTCCTCACTCAATGATCCCCAAAATTATCTCGTGAAGCGCCAATAAAACTTTACCAATTCCCCGGTATTGCGTAAAATAGGAGAGGATCTGTTCCTCTCTTAACAGCGACGTACTTGCTTACGCCCGTGCTCGAAGAACTTCACAAATTGTCAGCTTTAGATCCCGAGAAATCATCGTCATCCGCGCTTGAGAGCGAGAAGAAAGGGAGCCCCCGAAGTATTCGGAGACAGCCAAAGTTCTACACTTTGACGTTACCGGAGAAATTTATCCCCGCCTCATTTACCATCTCGTCACGACGTGGCGTAGCACTTGACAAAATGTAAATCCGTATCGAGCGCGAGCGGCGACGGGCTTGCTTAAAGGTATAGAGAGCTTTCTCTCTCTCTCTCTCTCTCTCTACGTGTGTACGCGCTCTACATGTACATGGCGGATTACGGTCGCGAAACGACGTTCGCCTCGTCCGTTGTTACCGCAGATTGCTACGATGCGAATGACAGTGCTTAACTTTTCGTTCGCGCAGAAACTTCAATCTAAACTTTCCTTACCGACGTCGTGCCAACGATAGTCCGGGCTTCTTTTGCCACCTAAACTCGTCCCCTGCTCTCCCGCGGTTTGGCTTGCATTTTTGTCGCCTGGGATTTTCCAACGTTAGTCTTTCCGGATGATTCCTCCAGCGTTCCCGACAGTTTACCATAACTTCGATCATGGCTTCCGTTCATCCCAGGACGCAAGAGGTGAGGACGGAAGAAAAAAAGAGATCATCAACTGCTCGAGTGTCGGTACTACATTTAGGATGAGTTCGAGATAAACGATAGCGTTGAGATGAATCGTAAAAAGTGATTGCTCGTAAAAACCAAGATCTCGTGCTAAAAACGACGTTCAATCGCTATTCGTGTATTGTGGAAAAAAATATCTTATCTTTAAATAATAATTTCGTCGAGAAATACAAGTTCGCATTTCGAACTGACATGTTCTTCGGTGTGCACAGCGTTGATTCTGAACGCAGATATAGCGGTTTGAAATCCGGGTCACGGGATTATATCCCTTAAATCCTAGTCAGGCTGACTGCCAAGAATACTAGAAGAAATTTATTGCTTTGAGAATCAAGGCGGCAATAACGTTTCGCAAAATCAAAGTTATGTTTCTCAATATATATATATTACACATAGTGGTATTTGTTTATATATGTGCGCTTCAAGTATTAAAGTATACAACTAACTGAACATAATCACGAATTGCTTGTGAATTCCAATGTGATTCCAATAAATCCAACAAATCAATCGCGTTCTCATTTTTCATACTTAGCTTGTTAACCAATCACATTGGTACACGAAATTTGATAACATTTGAAGTACGTTTTTTAAAAGTTGTGGAGTAACAAAAAAAAAGGCTGAAGATGATCAAAATGCAATTTTCGCGCAATGTATTCGCGAGAATCGATATAACAACCCCTTTTGAAACATTTACGATGGTATTATGGAAACCGTTCGGCAAATATCCGTTCGCATGTCACTTTACTGTTGCGATCGGTCTATAATTATTTACGTGACGCTCGGGAAATCGAACTCTGACTGACGATTGGCTTCGTTAATGATTGCGGCACGCTTAGATAATCGACGATCGATGAATAATGTAAGCAACCTATAGCTTCGTGCTTTCTGCACTTAGGTCACGGTTTAACTATAACGTGCAGAGAAGAAATATACGTGCGCTTCAATTTTAATCTCTACCATTGTGCTAGTTTTTTAATAAACAGAGATCTTCAATTTAATACTGCACACATTAATGTTATTAAAGTTATAAAAAAAGTTGTTAAAAAAATTTAATATTATTTAATTAAAGTTTTTCTAAAGAGGAGAGAGTCAGCTCTCTCAAATTGAAACCGAACGTGGCGATTGATAAGTGTCCAAAACGACGAATACATAGCGATGGTGGTATCACATTGCTGTTGTCGTTGAAAAATTTTATCCTTCGGAAAAACAAATGTCAAACGCGTAATTTCGGATTTTTATCAATCGTCCTGAGTATGCGCACAAAAATAAACAATCTCGGGCGTGTTGAATGTATTTAATGATCTCATCTTACATCACACGCGCACGAATCTCTTTGCTAATATTTGCATTCTTGCTGCATGTTTCTTCTGATCTCTGGTTTTTGATATTAAATCTCGCTTTGTCGTCTATTGCGGAGTCAACAGAGAATTGCGCTCACGCTCGTTAGCGCGCGTTAACACAAAGCCAATGTTGCGCTACGTTAAGTTCCAAACGTAATTTTGTCGCACTCGTTGAGTGTACGTCATTAGCTTGACGAATAGTGCCACCAACGACAAAGCTAAGTGTATGACAGCAGAGAATTACCGCGTGTTCTCAAAGCAACGTCTCTCTCTCTCTCTTTCTCTTTCTTTCTCTTGTGTTTCATTACGTGGTGACGCTCGTTTTATTCTCGCAAATTAGTCAGTCGCGATTGTTACTCGATATACTCCTCGTTTTTGGAATTTTTTTGTCTCGTATTGCTTGTATTCAAATACACAAGCGGTTGTAAAGATTGTTTTACACCTTTCTCCAATTAACAAGTAAAGAGAAAAGTATTGCTCGCAAAAAGCATAATCGAAGATTACGACCGTTTTATTTGGATCGATAGAGGACATAATATCCCGTTTTAGCTGGATGTAATAAACGTAACTACAGGTCTCGTTCCGTAATGCCACGATCATAGCACGTGAACTCTCTCATGAATTATTAGACAACTATACACTTCTTTCGATATTCAGTGTTTCGAATCGTTTTATATCACTGCACGGAGTGATATGCGAAGAAACTTGTCGCGTTTCCATACTACTGGAAAAGCTACTTTTCCTTCTTCGTGAACAACGAGGAGTCGTTATTTTCGGCGATCGGGCGGCAGAGTCGATAAGGTCCGCGTTTGCAGTCTCCCCGAAACCAGTTAAGTTTTTCCAAAGCGATCAGCAAAATGATACCGTTTTAAACATACGCCTGCGAAAAGTACACGGGGAAGATGCTGCTCTTTTTGGACAAACCAATCCCTTCGGAGTGGTGATCCCGGCAATTTCGGGGTCAATATGGAAAGTGGAATCCCTGAGTTTTCGCGCACAAAGTCTGTTCTTCCCGTTCTGCGATCTTTTTTATGTTTGTGATATCTAATTTACATATTTATACACCATGAATATATACAGGATGTCTGAACAATTTTGACACGGTGTGGAGATAGATTGAGTCAATCTGAAAACATTTACCATTTTGCAAAATTCGCACTATCTACGATCTATCCACACACTTTGGCTTTGTCAAAATTTTTCAGACACATCCTATGTCTTCCACTCACAACAAAGAAGCACATTTTTAAAACTCGTCTTCACACCTTCTTCATTGTTATTCAAAGCCGATATCGGCTGCTCCTGAATTCTTTTCCGGATTGGGGCAAACAACCAGCCAACTTGATGATCCCCTATTAGTGAAATCCTCGAACTTTTGCATACCTATCTTTTTCCTATTTTAAGTCGATGAAAATCTTCGGCAGTGAGAGAATGAAGTCGACCAGGTAACTGTGGCGGAATCGTTTCGTCGGATTATCCGTGCCGGACTCACCGCCGGAAATGATTTCCGCGGCTAATTGAGCGTGCTCGACTGCCTCGCGGCTCGATTACTTCCCAAACTTACCGTGTCGCGGAGCGACACGTTTTCCTCGCGCAAGAACGGCGAACAATTTACCACCGACGATCTCCAATGAAAATTCTCGGGAGTCCTGACGTCTCACCTCCGCGATGGATGACGAACACGTTACGAAGCAGAAGCGTCCGATTATAAATGAGCGAATTATACTTTCTGTCCGCGAGTTGCAAGATTTATTTATCCGCTTCATCTTGATGGATTGTCGCATTAATGAGGAAATTAGTATTTTATATGATATCAATGAGCAAGATAAACGCTTTGTGTGTGTGTGTGTGTAAAAAAATAACATTAAACCAATAATTTTCTCTCGCGTCACGATGTGACGAGGTCGTTGATTACGATTCAATCAGAGCAGCAGTTGACTGGATATGACGAGGCACGATGTGCGATTATTGACCGTTCCATCTGCACGTATTGTGATATCATTCGATTATGACGCTTGGGTAAATCGTAATTATGTCTCGCAATTCGCAGCTGGAATGGGTGACAGTCTGACGGAGGAGTATAGCTGCGACAGCGTTAAGGGAGCGGAGTAGGTCGTCTTAACAGCCCTGGAGACACGCGGATGGCACATAGAATAATAGGTTACTCCCCGGCAACCTGGGTTAGTCTCTGTTAGCAAGACCGAGAATGCACAATGTATGCAAACACTGTAGAGCTCGTCCCCGTATTCCCATCCCCTTCTCCTGCGTCTCTTCCTCACGAAATGCTCGAATTACTGTTCTTCGTCCAATAGGATGCTCGGCTGGCTGTCACGGGCGCTTTTGCAGCTCTCTTCGAAGCTAATGGAGAGGCGCGACGATCTGTTTTCCTTAAAGCACTTTAGCCATCTCGCTGCGCGTTTATCTCGAGGAAATGGCGCGATATGTCTCGCCTCGTGGCAATTTTCTTTTTGCGAAATGTATATATTGCCGTTTCTGCTCCTCATCGTAATGTCGACGCGTTTCGGCATACCGATTAAACGTTTGCATTTTCCATTATTAAATGCTCCCGTTTTCTGCAATTACTCGCGTTTGCCAAAGTACACTTACCTGCCCGATGTGCCGGAGAGAAAGAGAAAGAGACAGAGAGATGCTTACTTCGGATACTTACCTTCAAGATAAAAATGCAAATAAAGCAAAATTGCATTTCATGGTACGATCACATACTCTCTCTCCCTCTTAAAGTGGTATCAAGTGGCTCGTAAAAATAAATACTCGTCGCGGAGAGGAGAAAAAAGCAGCATTTTTTATACACAACGTAATATATAAAATACAACGTGATGAAATAAGTAAAGTTATACTTGATGTAATTGAATGACAGATAAAAATTGATAGATATGCATCGGATCTGTTACGTTAACGTTTGAGTATAATTTCTTTCAACGTTCGAAATAGAGAGAAGCGCAACACAAACAGGGGGGGAATAAATTCGTTGCACGTACCATGGGAATTTCCGCATCTCCCCGCACGTTGTTTTGATCTTAATGGAGAGGAGAGCATGAAGGGGTCAAATGGAACGAACAAGCTGAGCTCGTTTGTGTAAAACAGATGAGACGTATTCCCTTTATTTCGTATGCCATCGAGGTTTATCTTTACGCGAACGGACATTTCTCGGCTTAACATGTAACGGATGAAATTCGAACAGTAGTGGCTATAACTCTAAGGTCCAGGCTCGTGTCTATTTACAATAGATCTTTGTACAAAAACTAGTTTTATATATAAACAGGTAAAATCCACGTGTGTGTGTCCGCGTCAGAGTGATCGAGAACGAAGACGTCCGCTTTCTGGGGAGAGGATTTTCTCGAGTTTCGGCGAAGTCTTTCGAACGAATACATTTTTTTCTCTCTCCGGATTGTTATAAAAAATTTTGCGTACGAAAAACATGAGCAGTTATGAGCTTCGAATACGATCGTGTTGTAGTTAGTTATTTCGAGGACAAGGCTGGAGGATGAGCTCTAAATACTCTTTTTTTTAACCGTGTCACGTTACAAAAACCCCAAGGACGAAAGTGTGGATTGTAGATTGTAAAAGTTCCAAAAGAATTATTATGTGAAGACCATATAAAAAGACGTCGTTTTGTGCGCGATTGTTGAAAAGTACCAGAAGTATGAATAAAGTATAAAGCGCCGTTGTGTTGTAAAATGTTCTTTCAGCTCTCTCTCTCTGACCCAGCCTCATCTTCCATCGTCTCTGTTTCTTTTTCTCGCTTGTTATTGATATCAACTACTTAGGGATTAAAATCTCTCTTTGTACGATATTATTCGCTTATAATCTCAGTACGGCAGTAAAGAAATATTTTTGGACATGTACGAGTATCATATCCCTCTAATTCTCGCTAATATCGTTTGCTTCGTCTCGCCGGCGAAATTATGTATGAAAATGTAGTCATTCCTGGCGGTATATTCGGCGGTAATTTCGCGGAGAGATTGCGTTTTCCGTCTATACGGAGCTCAAGATATCGCCAGGTTCTCGACGGTTTTGTACAAGTAAAAGGTAGAGTGTGTTTCACGCGCGGAATGACTCGAAACTCGCGCGGGAAGATATCAAACTATAGGAAGATACCAACGTTAGACCTCGCGCACGTTTTGCGTCTCGGAAATCTCCATGTGACGCTGCTCTGCGCTCGCAACTCGTCACATTTACACGTGTAAATATAATCGCCGGCGGCGTCTTAGAAGAAGCTCACGGGGCTGATTCCCGCAGGGAGTCCCCTCGAACTTATATACAGCTCTCTTGTATCCGATTCGAGCGTGTCACCACTTCCGGTTGATGGAATTTGCCTTGCGCGGAGACCGACGATGAAACGGGCCTCTGTGGCATCGACGAGAATCCTTTGCCTGTCCTCTGAAGACTATAAAATACCTGAAATCAAATACGACGTACCACATTTACAAAATTGTTATTAATATTGTTTATCTGTATCTTTTTTTTTTATTAAGAATTTTAATATCTCTGTGCAATATTTTATTTTAATGTACAATTTGTATGTTAGTTTTTCCGGTGATAATATTTTACTCTTTCTTGAACAGAAAGCAACAATTCAAAGTAATATTGAACAATAAAATTTATACAATAAAATTATTAAAAACGTCGCGCATTGTATTATAATTAGAATACATCGAATTTGTCTTTCTTCTTTCTTTTTTTCTTTTTCTAGAAACAGCTTTTTGTATTTCTTTTCTAACTATGCTAGAAATTATTCAAGTACTTAAATATAAAGCTTCATTGACGAAGAGCGGGATACGAGACGTGTTACGTACATTGGGACTGGCCTCGTCAAATTATCGAGAAAACTTCGACGTAATTAAACTTACGAAAGCGCAGATAACTCAAGGTTCTGCTAAACCGGAAAAGTTAAAGTGGGGGACTGCCGCATATTGAAGCAACCGATTTCTCCTCCCTTGACTAACTTCCCATCTCGTTTTGCTCGAAGTTTCTAATATTTAAAACAACTTCTCTCTCTCTCTCTCTCTATCTGATTTAGCTCTACGAAAGTCAGAAGAACGTATTTAAATCTTAAATCTCGATGAAAATCAAATTGTTCGGCAAAAACTAAGTCATAAAATATTGTGGAGTGTAATGCTCTTTAAAAAATTCTTAAGTCACTAATTTCTGTCTTGTTAAAAAAAAATCAACATTTCAAAACGAGATTTAACCATAACTGTGTATGTAATGCGCACAAAAGTGCGATAATAAATATTTTAATGATTATTTACATTGTGGTAGTTGCGTTGATTATAGGCGTCCATCGCCATCTGTTTGAAATCAGCCATTGTGGGCGGATTGTTGTAAGTACTTTGCTGAGATACATGATTTTGCGAGTAATTTATGGTAGGCGTTGGCAGGCAGTTAGTCAGCATTGGATCCGAGGGCAGATCCAGACCGTGCTGTACGATTGGCCTCTTCTCCGGCGAGACGTCTTCATCGGTGGCGCGATCTTTCTTTCTTCGTTGTGGTGTTGTCTTGTAGACGGGGGTGTACGTTAGGGGTCTTCTTTCTGCGAACAGATTTAAGGAAGCCATGCAACGTCGCGACTAAGCCGCTTAGTCGATTAAATCAAGAAAGGGACGTCTATTTTATAAATAGCAGGTACATATGTCTCAAGTCGCAGAAATATATGTCGCAAGCGCGAGACAATCGTGAGTCAATATCTCACATTGACCGACTCTATATCTCAAAATCACATAGAGAAAAAAAAAACGATCTTTCGTTTCGCGAGATTTGATGGACATCTCATCTCATCGATGACCAAATCTCCGAGGTCTCTACGCAAAATCTCTCGATTTTTAAGCATCTCTCCATCCGACTTTTATTTCCCGACATTGTCATTATTCGCGCTGCTCCGCTCGCCGACGCAGTTCGCGTATTAATATCGCAAATGGAAATGTATTTTTACGGAAAAAAAGTAACATCGCACTGGAATGAATTTAAATGAGAAGTTTGTTCCACAGAACTTGCGTGATATAAGTTAAAACTAACAGTACGCATGCTTGTTATTATACTCTTGAAAATGGTATTGGATGAGAATTTTATTACGTATGCAAAAAAAAAAACCAGTGTTTATGCTCACGGCTTTAAAATATATACGATGTGCTCGTTCAAAAATATAATTTTCCACGACACACACGTCTGTTCGCGAGAAACACAGTTTTACGTGTGGCTTAATTCGTAATTTCGAAATGGTCATTATACTGAAAAAACTCAAATTCGTGGAATTATTATTACGTTAGTGGTTACAGCAAAAATTTTATGCATAGGAAAAACTAGTAATTTAGAAAATAAATATTATCACAAATATTAGTAGACACACAGACCCGTCAAGATGAAGACATGCAAGTTTGATTGCGAATTGTACATTTTATATATATAAATATGTATATATATATATATATATATATATATCTCATTAATAAGTTTATCAAATTTGCAAATTTGCGCGTACATAAATGTGCGTGTATAAAGTCTAATTATAACGAAATATGTCAAATTTCAGACACATAAATATTAAAAAACTGATAGTGTACGGTATGTACCTAAACACGTCTAAAGACTCTCAACTTAAAAGTGGGCAACGACAAAGATAAACTCGATTTACTATTAATCACTATCGCTATTGTTCACGTCCCTACATTATTTATTGGTTTTCTTTGGAAGTTTGTGCGAAAACCATCGCAACAGTCAATATTTCCTCGAAATTCTTCACGGCTTAATTTATTATTTAACGACTTTGCAACCGTGATAACTTTTCAGAAAGACACACACTCGCGCGCACAATTGCAAAACTTATAGTTGTTCGATGTTCAAACCTGCGCGATCTATTTATATATATGTACAACCCTATATTTATCTCGCGCCGCGCACTTTGAAACGGAAAAAGCGACGAGCGCAATGCGAATATATTATCTTATAATTAAAATTTTCGTAAAAATTTTATGAAATTTTTTCACATTCGATATTTTCATATCTCTCGAAAAAAGTTGGAGGATTATTTTTTTTTATCGCTCTTGGCGATATACTAGATTAAAGTGGCAGCAGCAGCAGCATGCCAAGATAATGCATATGCAACGGCTCGGCTCTGATTGCCGTCGACAGAAAAACCAACAGCCAATAATAGATCAGCGCAGAAGGCGCCATTCGTGCGACGATTGGAATGCTCGACGAACTTACCGTACTCGTTGGGTATGATGTCCGGATCGATGTCATCGACCGCCTGCTTGGTCTGAGGGTGCACCGGGGTGGTTGCACCTGCATTAGGCGGTTCGCATACGATAGGAGCGTGCTTTGGACTTCCGGGTCGGCCGGTGGAGTGCTTCCGGTAGAGCGCCGCCACGATTCCAGCTACGATCAGAGCCACAAGGGTCGCAATTGCTGCCAAGCCCAGCAACAACGGATTCAGCATCGATGCGTTGGTGTTGCCTGCCACGACAGTCAATGCAAAATGCTCGATCAACTGGAACTTCTATCGATCTACTTGCCTCTCCGCGCGCGCGTTCTGTAGCGTGACATAGTTTATACCTTCCTCCCCTTTTCTCCTCTTTTACCCTATATTCTGGCTAACGTTAAGTTCACAACTTGTATACTTGCCAAGGCTCTCTTGATAATCTAGGTATCGACGAGAGAGAAAAAAGAGGAAAAGAAAACTCGCGCGACGAAAGGTTTGAGAGCAACGCGATTGCTCTTTCTGTATTTTCCAATTATTTCCGGATTGCGCGGCACACGTTGATTGGCTGCAAATCCGTGAACAGAATCCGGAGATTACAATGTTTCGTATGTGTGCCAGCGCTATGCGGGAAATGATTTTTCTAGGCGTATACCTGTTTTGCGTTCCGCCTTTTCCTTTGTCTCGGTAAACGAAGGTACCGAGAAAGGGAGCGATTCAATGTTTCCCTATTATCGACGCGTGACATCGCTCCGCACAAAGAGTACGTACAGCGGTAGATCGAAAAGGGATCATTGAACGGCCGTGGCGCTGCCTTGATATATATCGCCGGGCGCTACTCTGAAAGTGCTTGATTGCAAGAGCTAAACCCCCTTTGTGGTAATGCCGCTCGCGCACAGAACTGGGCGCGCGATCGTTAGAGCTCGAACAGTACAGAGATAAAACAAAAACAAAAAAAATAAATATTGCTACTGTGGTCTAACGCGATAGTTTGTTATGCCAACAGGCTCCATTTTGCGTTTGTTTTGTCGACTAAGACAGCTCGATTAAAATACAATATTTCTCTCCACTCTTCTTTCACCCGACTGCAATCTCATCGGGTCGCATCTGCAGAATATTACGATAGCGTTACGGTATCACAGTAGGTATCGTGCGCTTTGACTGTAGAGCATCTAGTTTGGCGACTGTGCACGAGCTTTATCGGTTTTTTTACCAGTCACTTCGAACATGTTTCCTCTTTCGATGAATCGCGATTACATTTGTCTCGTGTTTCACTTTATGTTCGTCGACATTATTCTTAGCGATAAAATGAAGTGATAATCGCGCGATTTCGTTGTCACAGATTCAATTTTGAATCGATTCGCATGACCGTTCTGTTCAGATGAGATAACGCAGATAGTAGACAATACAAGATATGATATATTCCCCTACGTGCGTCGATTTCTCCCTTCCTCCCTCTTTTTGTCACGGTAATCCCGCTGACTATCGAGGGAACAAGCGTCATCAATATCAGGCGCTTCTCTGGCTTTAATAAGCACGACAATAATTGACAAAGGTATGTCTGTTGTGGAATATTATTGAAGTTCAACCCTTCCATATAAATATATACTCTTTTGTCGCGCAATACGCCGCGCATCTACGACACCTACGCCCTGCGTATGTACACATGTATTTTGCGTGTACACATGTATATACGTACACGTAGGATATTTCTCCATTTCTCTTCGTTCATGTACGCGCGTATGACGCCGCGGAGTATCTCGCCGCAAGAAGGATATAATTAACGCGTACTTTGTCGCCCCATATACACTGCGTCCCATGAAACCACCCCCGTATAAGGATGTTCCCGCTAGTCCATCATCCCCCCTAGGCTGTTATCACGAGCCAGCTCGCGCGTCGCACTTACGTACACACCTATAAACTTGCTTGTGCACGTGCAAACGTCGGAAGTTGTGTTCTGTTACGTCTGTATCTTCTCTGCTTTATCATCGCGACCGTTTCACTTGAGCTTCTTCAAGACACACATTTGAAAGCTGACATTTCGAACGAGTTTTCTCTCATTTATAGAAAATGAAGAGATAACTTATTGAGTCATTAAGCGTGAAACTTAACAAATATAAATATAGTTGTCAAATTTACACATTTATCGAGTTACCGAAATGAACGGATCACAAATAAAAAAAAACTTCTCTAAGCAAAGACGCGATAACATCATTATTTTATCTCGTATGACAATAGTCGTTTTAATAACGGCGAACGTTACAAGTTTTGCTGCCGCATTATTCGCAGCAACTGAAGCTCACAGACGAGCGGTAATTTCTGAAACGACAAGCTTGCAAACCCGGCTAAAAACACGAAAAGACGGTGGCAATGCGCCTTTTAAAGCTCGTTTAGCGCTGGAAAACCGACCACGGCTCATTCAAGGATCTCAAAGAAATGAAACGGTGTAAACGAGATTGCTCCTAGGCTGCTGCGCCTTTGAGATAGTTTATTGTTTGCCGTCGCAGTTAAAAAGAGCGGCATAAATACTTGCTCCTTCTCAACGCGATTATCTCAATATCGTGAGTAATATTCGTGTAGGCAATCGTCGAGTTTGAACAACTTTTTATAGATTTAAATTATTTTTCTCAAACGCTGACGACTGACATCTCGCGTGTGTATTCACACACACATTATATTCAAGACATCGTACAATCACTCCGCGGATTCTTATTGTTCTTAATTGTTTATTAGAATATAAACAATTTGCGCTCTGCGCAAACAATCTCGGCAACCTTGTGATATATCGGCCAAAAAAACATTTCGTAAACTGCGAGCGAATAAATTCTCGACGCGAGTCCATTATGCAAATTGTATTGAGCAGAGATGCATTCAAGAAAGACCGCTTTTCAAAAGAAAGAAAAAAATGTTTAAAACGCGTAGCGCGCAATAAATACACGAAATTTCACTCCGTCTGAATAACGGCCAAAGTTTGTTTAATAAAAAAAATAGGTGAAGTGTGCATTGCCACACGAGTGGTATCGATGTGGTAACATCTGGAGCACGTTTCTGCTCGGGATAATACGCGACAACGCACATCGAAATCTCTCAGATAGCTTAACGGGAACGTCATTGAGTTGTTGATCAAAATAAACCGCGGATGAGACACGCGGAAACTTGTAGAATCTCGTGTGAAAGAAAAGAGCGGCAAAACGAAGCGGCCTGTCACGTTTAATCCCAGCGTGTTGCTCTCCTTAGATCGTTCACCGTCGGCATCGTTGAAAATTTTAAAACAGCCGTAAATCCGCTGTTATCCGCAGTCCTGCAGCAGACAGAGATAGTAGAAATTCCCTGCTTGACGGGTACCCAAGGAGCATTCGTGATACTCGTTAAAGTTTGATTAGACTTTGATTGCCGGCGGAAAGCGGACCAATTTAAACTCCGCCTCGCGGATTGCGAGAGCAAAAAAAAAATAGAAAAAGAAAGAGAGAGAGAGAGAGAGAGAGGAGGCGAAGAGAAAAGAGAAGGATAGGAAGAAGGAAGAAGAGGAACAGATAGCAAAAGCAGAATGACATCCGGTAACCAGATGAATGCGGACATTACGTCTCAGCTGCGCTGCGTTTCCTTCATATAATAGAAGAATTTAGTCGAGAATCAAGAGCTGTCTTTCGCTCGTACAACCAACCCGCGCAGACAGTGTGTTTACACCGGGATATGTCCCCGGCACCGGGAGTAATTAAACTTTTTCCAGTGTGAAATTGCAACAGGACCGCGCCGGGACACAGTTGCCCGATCGCAACGGAAAATTGTAAAAGTAGGTATAATTGCAAGGACGGTGGAGAAATGGCAACGCGTAGCGTCGTTTAATTTGCATCCCCTGTGCGTTCGCACAAATTATGACGGACTACGACTGCAGTTTCGTGCGTGTGAATAAAAGAGTTCGGCGGTACTGAATATTCTAAAGAAAAGAAAAACGAAAAACGGTCGTCAATTAACGACCGAAGCGAGAAATACACGGCGAGAATCTTTGTGGAAAATATTTGCTCACTCTTTCGTGGTAGAAACCTCAATGCAATTATTATAATGACTCGTGACACGCTTGAGGGATAAAAGGGAGAGGGAGTGCGCGCGCGTGCGTCTCTCCCGCGTGCGCGCGCGCAATTGTTTGCCTTAAACAGGATTTTAATGCACTCAAGCCGCTCTTTTGCCGCGCGTCGTGTTGACTATGCACTTTGTCTTATCTGCGTAAATAAGGCAGGAGCTAACTCGACGACGCGAAGAACACGCCAAGGAGGAATTCTTTGAGCCACTTGAGCGTTGTTGTATGCGGAGTCCGCGTTAAGCAACGGTGCTACTACCAACGCTGCCATTCAAAAAAATCTGTCAGCGAACTGCCGGAGAAAGCAAACTCTCGTGCAGCGTTTTCAATTCAGGTACATTATTAGCTGACATCCGACGCTCTCCGAGGAACTGTCTTGTTGGTAAAGGGCAATGACTCTCCACTTAAGATTCTTGCCCGTACATTACAAGCAGTTTGAAGTAGACAATTTTTCAACTATCGTTAAAATCCCGATCTAATGTGTAAGAACGATCGTGTATATACGAGGAACTTGAAACAACTCGTAAATTTGCGCGCGCGCGCATTATCTTGTTACTCAATTTCTCTTATTTCATTATCAAGCTTAACAAAATCGCAAGCAATTCTGTTACAGTGTTAAGTGTCTGTTGCGTTAAAATGAAAAATTGCATTTACGCTTACTGTCAAATTTCAAACACCGCGGCGGTTACGAAGATACCTTCTCCCCGGTAGCGTAGTGAAATATTACCCTACCAGCAACTCGCTGTATAAGCATCGAGGTATTTCGGTCTCGCGCTGCAGCGCGGAAGAGAGAATTAATATTGACGTTCCCGTTTACTCTGTCGACGAATCTTGCGCGAAGATGTACGGCCTGTTGCGCGGGGTTTCACGAAAACAATGTCAATCTTAGCGCCATAAATCGGCTCACTTGAATCCCAAGCGCCGACATAGCCACTTTATTTGCTCACTTCCTGCTCATCGCGTCTATCCGGTAAATAGTAAAAACCACGTGGATAGAGACAAGCGAGCTCCTGGGAAAATCAGTCCGCTTCCGGCGAGGCAATACTCGCACGACGTGTACAGAGTTTAAAGCCGGGATTTCACGGGGGAAGTTCTTTGCGAGTGGCCGAGCAGAGAAACGCGAGCGCGCGCTGCCTTCGACGAGGGTAAAGTAATTCGTCCCAAATCGAGGCAATCCCGCGGAAACCCGAAACCAATTTCGAAAGAATTGCATTCTGAAACCGTCCACGTGGCAGCCCCGAGGCCAAACAAGCGCGCGTGAGAATGTCGAAAACTCTCGGAAGACCTTGAGACTCTCTTCGGCCAATCGATCCCCGAGAAAAATCGTTGCGAAATATTCGCTCAATTTTTCTTTTCTTCAACAGGAGGGCACGTTATTTCTTTTCCCGGATAATTAAGTCCGATTTCTTTTTTCTAGATAACGAATATAAACCTTTACAACTTCATCAATATCAATGTGTAATATCCCACATAAATTTCTATCGTGATGCTTGCCGCGTGCTCAATACGAAACTTTTAAGATTAATTCCCGTAATCCGTTTCGCGCTAGTTATGCGACTTATACCGTATATACGGAAGTTTCCAACAAGAATATGCGAGTCGCCCGTAGCAACCGAGTCGCCCGTACTTTCTCGTTTTACGTGACTATCCTCGATATCTCGTTTCTGTTTCCCGCTTTTCCTTTCCGCCCTTTTTCTCCGCTTCTTTTTTCGTACGATATGATGTTAGTGCGCAAGTTTGAGAAAATAAGCGATACGAGAAAACTTCTTTTTCCATTTTTTATTTGATAGAATCGGCGGTCGTGTGCAACAGACCTGAGATGCAACTTTTATCTTACGTAAGTAGAAAAGAATATTCCATTTATTTAATTTTCCCACTAGTGGATCAGCAACGATGCTCGTTCAATGAACGATTACGAGAGGAGAAGCAACAGAGAGCGAGGGAGAAAGAGAGGTTGCTACAATTTTCTTCCTACTTGTCTCAGCCACGCCGACTCGTCTCGTACCTCGCTTTTATCCCTCGTGTTCGTTTTCTTGCACTACCGCAGCGTGCCACGCCGAGTTACCGTTTTTCTCGCTTCCGCGGCTGCCGAGAGGAACTTCTCGACTTGAATCATATCTTCTTCCTCGGCATGTCGGTATCGTTACCGAGACTAGCGTTTCGTTCGTTCGCGGCCAGTTCTTGTTCCTCGCAGGAGATACTGGTAAGGTACACACAAAAACATTTCAGCGGGAGATCTCTTCGCGCAAACCACAACGATTTGTTGGAACGAAGGAAAAGGGAGAAGTTTGTTTCAGAATGTGATAAGTGAGAAGCAGTGTAAGATTCGCCTCGTTTCTCGGAAACATCTCCGTGTATATCGAACACAACCGTGTGTGTGTGTGTGTGTGTGTGTGTGTGTGTGTTCTTTCTGCTTCATCTATTTAATAATCGATCAACGATACAATATCATCATACACTTCTTCGAGATGTTCTACGTTTACATTCGCGTATATATTTCGATAAAGAATTTTACATATATTTTTGAATAAAAATTTAGATAAAAATAAATGTAAAATTCTTTATCAAAATATATACGCGAAAATAAATATACAAAAACGTTTGAGAAGATATTGTATCTTCACTTATATGGTTGAACACGATCGATTGTTACGAAAGATTACGCAGAATATTGATGCGAGGGATCGGAATAAGCACAGGAACATTAAAACCGCAACGCAAAGGACGAGAGTACCTTCTGTCGCTAACGGATCCCTGCGGCTCTTTGTAGGACAATACTAGAGTCGGGGACAATACAAAGAGCCCGCAAATTGGCTTCGATGGTTCGTAGACAGGCCGCCATTCGGGCAAATCAGCGCCGCGAGGTTACGGTCGTCAAATCAATATTTGCACCTCGCCACCCTCGCACACAGAGAGCCAGTGTGCAAAGTCAGGCGTGTCGGAATTAGCGAAGAAGGAAGGAAGGAGGCGGAGGGTGAGGAGAGTCGGACCCTCGACGGTAAAGACCGAGGGTGCAAGTACATCAGAAAGAGAAAGAGGGGAAGAGAGAGAGAGAGAAAGAGAGAAAGAGAGAGAGAGAGAGAGAGAGAGAGAGAGTTAGGGTTGGACTACAGTGGTTGGTGGCGTTGGAAATCGGTGGTAAACTGAATTAACCTCGTGTTGACCCGCGACCGTATGTTACCAATGACTTTCTATTACGTTGCCGGAGTCGTGCCGATGGAGTCTGTTATAATCGAGCATCGTCCCTGAGATAGAAAAGAAATGATCGAAATGTCGTCAGTCGGGATGCTCGTGTAAACATTATATTCTCTTGATCGTTCGCAGGTATTGGCCTCGCGAAAGATTTGTCGCTCGGATTTGTTGGCTCGACCGAGCAGTATTTGCGGGAACAAGAAGCAACCTGAGCGGCAACCATTTTCCTTCACGTACCAAGAGCGAAATGGAAGTTAGTTTCCGATCGCGTTGCAGCTAAATTTCTGAGCACGCCAACCTTCCAGTTGCAATTTTTCGTATGTAACGCAGTCTGTAGCGCATCGATCAAGCCGGCAATTACGTTCTCGCGTTTTGGCTTTTTCGTGTCGACGAACGACAGCACGAACAGACGCTCGGACGATAAGTTCTTTTGAGTTTTGGATGCCTTTCAAGTTTGCAACGCGGTTTAACGCCACCAATATTACGAGAAAATATAGCAGCATCAAGAAAACGTTTGCTGTTACGTAAACGCAGAGAAAGACTATTGACAACGCGAATAAGTATTTTCTCTGATAAATGTGCTTATCAGACCTTCAACCTGTTCCTTTCTCCTTCTGTCAATCGTGAGATGTATAAACTCAATCGACTCGAATTCAATTTGATGCAGAAAATAATGCGGAACATAACGTCCTAGAGACCATTAAGTTGTTACTGACACAAAAGTGTATCTTCTGCATCTTTGTAAAACTAACTTCTTTCCATTTCTGTCATGTTTTAAATTTCTTTTCAAAAAATTTAAAGGAGAAAAAGTCGACGATTCAACTCTCTTCGATACTATCAACCGCACCGTTACGGAATGTTTGTTATTTTCCCGTGGAATCGCATGGAGAGTTGCAGAAAGCCTCTGAAACTGTCACGTAGCGTATATCGAAGCGGGTATAGGTGTTCGTTGATTGAGAGTAATCTGTTTTGTTAATTGCAAGGTCCGCAGAGTCCGATACCTGCGGTTGCGTTGCGCTGCGTTCAGCATTACAAGCTCTGCTACCTACCGGCGAATACTCGGCCTCTACCGCTATCCACCGATAGCGGACCACTTCAACCCTCCTTCTGCCCCCCCCCTTTCCTTCACCCTACGTACGGCTCACAACCTCGCCGACCGCAGTGTGAGGCTCGTCGTGGAGAACGGCGAGGAGACTACAGGCGGTTAACCAACTAATTGCAATACCGACGCGTTCGCTCGCGGTATTTGTGAAATTGCGATCATATCCGCCTTCCTTGCGACGCCTATCAGCGTATAATAGACGCTATCCGTGCGCGTAACCGCGCGCTCTCTAATGGATTGTCAAAAGTGAAATTCAGCGTTTTTTTCCGGCCGGACCGCGTCATTTTTCAGAGAGCACGTCCGGTCTCCGCGCTCGGTTTTCAACGGGGACGACACGATGAGAAAGAAAATGTAGCGCGGCTATTATTGTTGCAACGATCGGCGATTGACGCGTAAATATAGAAAGTCGAGCAAGGAAAACCGGCTCGACCGCTCGCCCGACGAGCAACACAATGCGATCAATCGGTTTTGTTTTTTTTTTTTTTTTTTTTTNTTCTCTCGCTGTGTGTGAGTGTTAGCGAAAGATCTACTGGTTCACGTAAAAAGTAAATATCTTTGTAAAGTGCGAAGTCGTATCCATTCCGTGCGATGTGGAAGCGGGACTATTAACGAGTAGTAAGTTCTCTCCGCGGCGCAAAGAATAACGCGACTGTACTTTCTGCATAGCAGAAGAAATTTAAATATATAACGAAAAGGAGAGATATCATAAAAGAATTTCATTATCATTAAATTACTGGGTTTCTTCTTCAACCAACTTCGCAAGTCATTCAAGTTACATGTTTCATGATTCGTTTATGACTTTGTTCGAAGATTTTACCCCAAAAATCATATTTGTTCCGTCTCTTCCTTCCTTACGTACACGCAATATAAGAATAATCATGCTAACGAGAAAACTTTTCATAATTTCCCAAAAACGGGAGCGACGCAAAAGAAATATATTCACAGGATTTCATAATTTGAAAGTTTTGCGATTATTCTTAGTGGGAAAGTACTGAATCATATCTGTCTCCACAACATTTCGTGCGATTGTAATATTTAATTGCGAAATCAGAATATATTTTGTTAGCGACCGAGAATATAAATGATAATCGTAAAATTTTGTTTTGCCACAAAGATAAATAGACAAATAAATTTTTGACACACAAAAAACATCTTCGAAAGAGCTGAATCTACACTCACCGGTTGTATACATAGCGACGCCTTTTAGGGTTACCGGTTCGAGGATGGCAGGTTCGCTCCTCCCCTTCGCATTAATTGCGTAGAGAAAAAGTCGATAACTCCTTCCCGTCGTTAGTCCTGCGACCTCGAAGGTAGGTCCGTTGGGACTTGCCGGCACGCTTTTATTTAACAGAATCGGACCTCCGTCCTCGTCGGCCACGACCTCGAGCAGATAACTGTATATCGGAAGACCTCCGTCGTAACCCTCGAGGCATCGGACTACCAGCCCTGTTCCCGACTTCGTACCGAGCTCCTCCACGTCCAGAGGCGCCGACATTTCCGTGGCGCTGCAATTGTGAAGAGCATACGGACGGCCCGCGGCTATAACCTGAAACAAGCGAGTCGGAAATAAAGCGTATTTGCATCAAGCGAACAACACGTCTGTTATTATATTACTAACAAAGCCAAGTTTTTACAATTCTCTCTACTCGTGAAATAAAAAAAGCTCAAAGCGGCCGGCTGATTTCTTAATGCACTTCTCTCTAAATGCTGTTGCATAATAGTCCGCGTAATTTAAGGATGTAATTCAAAAAGATGTAATATGTACATCTTCCTGTATCGCGCAGTCTTCCTTCGCGCAATAGATGAAAAGAACGATCGATCTTACCCCGTAGCGACGACAAACGACTTCGCACACGTTCGAGAACTTTCACATGCACATCAAATACCAATAGAGTTTGTATCGTCAGAAAGCAGCTCCGCGTTCTTTGTAGGTATCGTCGATCGATCAAAATGAAAATTTATGGGGTACATAGTGATGCCGGAGTGTACAATGTGTATAAAATTTATGAAGGAAATAGCTAGTAACATGTACGTGATGTAAATACAGGAATTTTTTAGACCTGCACTACGAATGGTTCAGCTACAAATACTTTCAGATCAAATGGATCGCTACAAGCAAGAACGTAGCTAAGAACAGTGATTGAAGTAATAATCATTCAAGAAAACGTGTTTTAATATCGTCACATAAAAAATAAATATATTACGAGAAAATAAAATTATAATTAAAAACAGAGTTGAAACTTTCAATAAAACCTTTTAGTATAATTATATATATTTTTTTTCAAGAAGAGTAAAAACACACTTATTCGACACGCGCGTCAATCTGAGAGCACGAAATTCTGAATCGCACGTCGAAAGCCACGCGTGTGGTTGAGAGCAAAGAGGCGAAAAGGTACAGGTGAAAAGTACTTGCCTGAAAGAGGCAGGGCGTTCGTTGCTTGCCAACCTGGTTGCTCGCCCAGCACGCCACCGTGCCGTAATCCATTTCCGTAGCCGGTGTGTAGTCGAGATTGGGGCCGCGAAACTGTTGGTACTCTTTCAGAGTGTCCGAGGCGGACGGTGTGCCAGACGCCGATACGTGGGAATAACGAGACTGCACGTCGACGAGCTCGCCGGAATTATTGAACGTCCAGTGGTAAGTCACTGGCGCCGGATGGCTCTCCACGGAACAGGCTAACAACACAGTTTCCTGCTTCAAAGCGCCGACCACCACCTCACTCTTGCCCTCCTTACACACCGGTGCATCTGCAAACAAAGTCGTCGCACTTTGTCGACGGTTGGCTTTTCTGCGAACAACGATAGACTAGAGCGAAGTTTGAAGTACGGGAGAGATGATTTATGAGAACCGCCCGTCAAGATTAATGTATAACAAAGTGTGTATGCAGTCTGCGTTCTTCCGCACCGAGAATTTTCATTGTCCTGATGATAAGCGTAAGAGCGTGATTCTGATTAATTTCTTTTCCAGCGTCGCGTCGCGCGCGCTCCCGCGCTTCTCTCCGCGCGTGTACACGCACATAGAACCGTAAATCAATCACACCAGCATTCTGTTCTTGTCCGTAAAATAATACTAACGGCGATTTAAATGGATATTCGACGTGTGCGGTTATTCGTGTTCCTATGCTGCGATATATCGCGCGCGCGCCGCTTCATATCCCGGCGAGATCCGCGGGTGTCAAACGGAAGAAGAAGCAGCTAGACAGCGCTCAGCCCGCCGCACGGTCGATCGATAGTCTAATAGGAAATTCCCTTGACATCGGTATTTGCGATAGGCCATGACACGCGGAAGTCCCGCACGGGACTGAGTGATGATTTACGACCGAAGCTGGGAATCACGGTTGGAGAGACTGTCTGGTTGCAATTTGATACAGTCGCTCTCTCTCTCTCTCTCCTCTCTCTGTGGTACTAAATTAATTGCTAAGATGAGAAGTTCGGGAGATGCTGCCGTAGAGCAGCGTTACTGTATATCGACGTATCAGCGAGGCTGCAAGTACATCTGTTTACTAAAGGAAGATACCCTGTGCGGGAGAGACGTCATGGCTCGATCTCGAAGTTTGTGAATAAGAGATACGTAGTATAGTAGAGAAAGAGACAGAGAGAGAGAGAGAGAGAGAGAAATCAGATTGATCTCCTTTATGTTTAATACGATATATCCTGAAGCAAAAATTGCTTTGCAAAATGCTAAGAGATGCTTTTTTAATATACAGACATGTCTTTCAGTATATACGCGAGTTTTATTTTTATTCAAACACTTCATCAAAACAGTCTCTCTTATTTGATTCATCTTTTTATTCAGAAAAATTATTTTTTCACAAAACTTCACTATTTTATTGAAATTTCCGATTTAAAAAAGAAAGAAAGAGAGAGAGAGATAAAGGTTAAATGTGACGAAAGATAACATTATATTTCTGCGCTGGTGTGTGTGTGTGTTGGAAAGTACAGCTTGAATAATTTCGCAATTTCTCTAGAATAACCAGACAAATTGTTGGGCCGACGTTTGTTCCGCTTTATAAAACATTCAACGATCTCTTCTTTTTTCTCTGTTCTAATAAAATAAATTAGATTTTTCATAATAAATGTTCGGAATTCGAATTGTATCACAGGATATCTATTTGTGACTTCTATTACATGTTGTTTACCTATTCATTCAATAGCCGACGATCAATGCTCGATCTATTAATTTTTTCAATCAAAATGTTTCACTGTTCTCTAAGCTTTAACACACACACACATACAGAAAATTGTAGATGTAAAAGAAAAAAACAGATAAATTTTTGTGTAGTTGTGTGGGGATTGATAATTAACGACAAGATTGTAAACGTAGAGAATGTACGAACTAGAATTTGTGATTCCTACTTGATTCAAAGTTACCAAGAGAGAGAGAGAGATTTAAATATGCTCTAATTCACGTGTAGAACAATGGATGTTAACAAACTTCTAAATTTGTGAATCAAATGTGCGTTGACCAGGAAGCTTCCCGTACTTATACGATTTGCATTGCAAACAGTTAAAGTTATTTGTAGTTGTGGAGCAGAAAATCCATAGATCTTGTAGCACATCTCATTACTTTCTACACTTAGTGTATATACATGTATATATACAGAAAAAATACAAAATATATATACATACTACGTGCAAACTATTTTTTCAATACTTTTTTCAGTACTCTCAGAAGAACGTTAAAATAACTTTTATTTTGAACTATATATATAGATGAAAAAAGTATACACAAATAAAATGCATAAAACAAAATGTTTTTCTTGCTGCATCATGTCGTAAAAATATTGCTAGACGCGATATTACACAGAAACGCATATTGTGACGCGACTGTCACAATTGTTCTGGATCTCGCGCGAACGTTGGAAATTGACATCATCGGAATGCGTCGAAGAGAAGGGGATTTAAAATATGAGGATGGATTTGCGATCCTCCATCGGTTACGTGCGCTCTATCGTATGTCTGTTACGGCCTAGCTTAGCACATTGCCACAGCCTGCGTTCACCCACACATGAATATTCAGCTTATGCTTTACATATACTGAATATGCATCGCAGTCCTTCCTTCCCTCTTAGGTCATTTACAAGATGCAGATATGCCGGGCTAGGCACCAGGGCCACCGACCATTCTAATAGAATAACCCGCGTTTCCGTGTTTCTCACAGAAAACTATACAGCCTATTCTCATCCCTCCTTCTGCTCCTCGCCTTCGCCAACCTATTTTCTCACCACAACGAGAGGGAAGGGATTCGTTTCTCATGCGTTCGACAAACCATAGGCGCTCGCCTCTGCCGTGTGCACACGGAGTTGCTTACCATCGATTAAGTAATTATCGAGGGATTGTGAGCCCCGCGCGAGACCGAAATTGGGGAACTGACGCCGTTGTGAAGGACATACGCTCAAATGCCATTACAACGTTATTGTTTACCCGGGCCAATTTCTGATCGGTATAATTTAGTTATTAATTATTAACAAAGACTTGTTAATTGCGCTTTCGACTTACACATTATCTGAAGAGACACCGGATTACTGGCGGTCTTTCCTTCGCTGTTCGCCGCGAGACAGGTGTAATCGCCGGCGGAATAACGAGTCAAACCTTGCAGCACCAATGAAAAATCGCTGAAAATCACCCCGGCCGTCGAATTGTTCTTCAGCTCTTTACCCTGAAAACACACAACGCAAAAAAAAAAATCGACGTTGACGATTGAGAAAATCCGTAATGAGAATTTTATTCCTTTATTACAATGTGATATGAAAAAACGTGAGAACGTTCACGCATTATAAACCATAATATAAATGCAAACTATAATAATAATAAAAAAATGTGCACGTGGAATTGTGCGCACGCAAGTTATCTAATGAGTAACTAATTAAATTTGCATAAACCGGAGAGAGAACAAATGCAACGACGCCGCGGCTGTAGCACGGCGGAACGCAAATATGCCGTGAAATGTTTCTTCGGATATCGTGATGGGACACGCGAGTACCCAGATTATCGCACTTACATCCTTGAACCAGGCGAGCTTGTACACCTTCGGATTTGCCTGCACTATGCACTCGAAATACACGTCATCGCCCTCTTTGATGTCATTCGGATTCAGCGTCTCGCCCATCCTCAGGTTGACCACCGGCTGGTATTGTACGTCGAGCCGCCACTTATCCTCCAACGCACTGTCGAGTATGGCAGGATTTTCCGCGCGGCATGTCAAATATTTACCGTCGTCCTCTATAGTTGGCACAAAGCTGAGGATACTCAGGCTCTGATTGTTCTCGAGCGGATACTGTAATTAAACATGCGCATTTCGTGCGGAATTAATCGGGTTCCCCGAAAGTTTTGCGATATTCGGACGGCCGAGAGCGCAGACGCCGCGGCCTACTAATCAAATCAACCTAAATCAGCACATTGATACGCTTCCCGTATCTTATCTTTGCTGGACACGTGACTTGAATTTCTCTCTCATTTCTCAGTGTCGCAAAAACATCATTTCCGTTCATTTTTTTTGTTTTTTTTTGTTTCTTACGTAGAACGTCACGCGTTTGTTGCTAATATTAATTTAACATCGTTGGAAGTTGTTAGATCGAAGTGATGCCGAAATAAAAGAGCGCGAGGGATTAACAGTTTTTCAAGATTTATGATGCTTAGAGCAACGGCGCAAAATGGAGGTCGAAGCGGGAGCGGGTCACATCGCTGACGCTTCCTCTCTCCATCATGGTCCGCGTTCCTCCCGCGCGTTTTCACGATGTCATTTTAATGATAGTGCCATCGGGCATATATATCGGAAAAGCCACGTATCAGTATCGCGAATACGATGAATGGAAGTAATGGTTCGTCAGGATGAATGTGACATTGCTGTCTCTCGCTCTCTTACACACTTTCACCTATCATTGCACCTGTCTACCCTCTCTCTTTCTCTCTCTCTCTCTCTCTCTTCCCACCCCTTCTCTACTTTGCTACCTCTCTCTCGTATTTTTTTGCAAGCTCCACCACGTTGCACTTTCAGTGCACCTCAGTGCGACGCGCGATCGAATTTTCCGATAAAACCCTCCGGACAGTCCGACACACCGGCATCGATACATCGCGCGGAATAGATCGTAGTGACGTTACGGTCATAGTGTTCGCATGCGTCGACCGAATGTTGCAGACGTGGTATTTTGAAACCCCCGTTTTCTGGGATAAAATCCACCGTATGGATGTGACGGAAAAACGTTTTACTTAATCGGTTTCGCGTGTCTACGCGAATAAAGTTAAAGCGCGCGTAATTTCCGCGCGCGCGACGGTGTTTAGATTATTTTCTCACACCAGTGCGAAAACTACGAATCCGATTCTAGAATACACAAAAAAACGCGAAAACACGAGAGGTAGATATACAGCTGATGTCTCTCAATATCAAACAAAAGAAGAATTTGAACTCGAAAAACAAACGCTTTTCTCATTCGCGTTTTGATTATATCACACGAATAATGTTTTGTCATATAATTTGTGTAGCGTTTTCGAACGGGAATATATTGAAATTTTTATGATGTACGAACGTGTTTACTCGTGTAATAAACGTGAAAAAATTCATAATACAACTTTTCGCGAAATATCCCGATTATTCCGGTCATCGTGTATGCGGTAATGGCCGTCGCGAGTGCTTCACACATTTTCGCTCACGGATGATCATGGAATAATAGCGCAGTAAAAATGTATAAAATAAGCATAAAACAGAAATAGCTGTTCTGTTGTAGAAATTGTGAAAATGTTCAATATTTTTATAAGCAATAAAGCTTGTTGTCCCCAATGCTTGTTTGTACCTGAAATTAGTGATTTACGCGTTATAATAAAAATGACTAATGCAGCAATAACGCAAATACAAATATTTCAAATTGCGAGATGGTAACTATGAAACATATTGTGTAACAGATTGTTTCAAGATATTATTTTATCTATAACGTTGCGCTTCTCCATAGAAATATACAGTGAATTTGTTGTTAATTGTTTCACTTTTGTTTTACGCCAACCTAATTATATTATTATGTAGCAGCTGTAACATAGTTTGCGCGTTGCTTTAATATATATGCTGCAATTATCTCGAATATCATAATATTATGAAAACGCGCGCGTGTATTGTATAGATACGAGATCATTTAATAATTACAAAGGGTATCGTTGAATGTTTCGTGTTCGACAACTATTCTATTGTGTATTACTTTGATACAACAATGTAACGCAGCTATTTCCAGAAAGAAGCGATTTCAATAAATGTGGAATCGATTTTTATGTGCAAATTGCGGAGCACAAGGATGAAACGACTTCGCGAAGTGGCTATGATGAAGTTGTATCGCGAAAAGAAAGAAGAATACTTACATTCAGTCGGAAACGTTTTAAAAATTTAACGTTTTCAAGTAAAACATTTCGTGCCACAGGCCGCGTGGGAAAGAAGCGTCTACGTCGAAAATAGGAAAAGAAAGTTAAGCCTTGAAAGTTTATCATCGCGTTTATCCACTGAATCGCTGTGGCGAAGTTCTGTACTCCCTCTGTCACTGCGACAGAGAAGAAGGAAAATGTCGGGAATCGAGGCGCGACGGGACGAACGAGAAGTCGGCCGCAAGAAAAACGAAATAACTGCTGCGTCGTCCTAACTTCTCGACGAAAATCGTCGTAAACTACGGGAAGTTGCGGGACGTCGAATTTCACGAATTTCCCTCCGAATTGTGCGCCGCACTTTGAGCGATGATTCTCGCGCTAAATCGTTTTCACCAAGACTCGACGACACGAAAGCTCACGTTCGACCGATGTAAAAAATTAATGACCGATGAGGCGTCCCGATAAAAACACGCGGTGCAACTTTATCAAACTAGGACACTCGGGGGAGACGAGTCGTGGATCAACTGCGCTTTTTTCTTCACATGCAAGCGCAATTTTGCCGGTTATTCCCATCGAAGATCGGACGGATCATCGCAGTGTTGACCGAGCTAAAATCCATCTCGCGACAAAACCAATACGTAATACTGAGAAAACCGACGGAGGAAAATTTTGCGCCACAATGGTATAATCTTGCTTTCTGAAATGAAACGAGTTCTCGTTCAGAAATGTTCTACGGACTGAAATGAGAGAGAAAGAGATTCAATGGAAAGTCTAGTAGTCGAATTTACTCACCCTCAATTTTACTTGCGTCATTTTATAACAAGAGCATTATAAATTTGCTTTCGTCGCCGGGAAGTTACGAACCGAAAGCGCCGACGTTTAACATCTTCAAATAAAAGACAAGAGAGAAGAACTTTTTACTAAGGAGGCTAAAGTGTTTGCTTTCCACCGCATTTAAATGACATAGCTTTCCTCTTTAGAACGACATCTATTTTCGTTTCACAGTACAGTGCAATTTCATCGCTTATCTGAACTCGTGCAATATACGCATGCATATATAGACGTATAGCTGACTTACGTTCTGAGCCATCTTCTTGATCTGCTTGTTTGCCTTCCACCACGTGATCACTGCCTCGGGCCGCGAACCGCTCGTACGACATTCTACGTTGTAATTTTTGTCGGCCGAAACTCGCGTTTCCTTCGTTAAGATCTGAACCATCACTGGTTTTACTGCAACAACAAAAAATGGCAAAGATTCTTTCTGAAATTGCGATAAACTACGAAACGCACGCAAAGAATGTATTAAATGACGCGCGTATACATATCGCTCGCTCGTGTGATTTGGTAATATTTTCAAAAATATATCTCAAAGTGATATCTACGTTTACAAAACAAAAACAAACAACAAGAAAGAAACAGTTATTGTTACTATAAGCAATCTTGCTTTTACTTCGAAAATTTTGTCCTTACAGATACAACATAAAAGTTGCGTGGTGTATTTATAATTTCTTTCTTCCTTTATCTTTGTATTATTTAAAAAAAAATACACGTTGCAAGAATAAACAAAGTTGTATCATTAAGCGTCGTCTGTGCGCATAGCTGAGTTTCTGCGACGACGGGACCTTGATTTAATCAACTTTATGCGGATCGCTACCGTTTCGAAGTTGTTCCCTAGCGAGCGAAAACAACGCTCCATTACTACAAACGGTAGGACCGTGTTTTACATTAGAAAGAAAATCCAGAAAAAAATTAAACAATCGAAAAAAATTCACAGAATAACCATGAAAATGTATAACTCGGAGTGTCTAATTCCAGGGTAGATACGAAACGTAAAATTATTTCGAAATTCCGGAGAAAGAGAACTGCGAACTACAAGAGGAATTAAAGAACGACGTGGCTCTCTCTCTCTCTCTCTCTATCTCTATCTCTCTCTCTCTCTCTCTCTCTCTTTCTCTCTATGCGAAAGCACTCGCAAAAGTCGAGGTTAAAACCCTGCTCTTGGCACGACATAGCGATAAATTTCAATTATTTAATTCTCAAATCCGCAAGAGAGTCGTGCCGGTTCCCGGAGTTCGCGGAGGCCGAATGTGGACGACTACTGTCTGTACACGATTTCCAAAAAGTTAAGCATACTATCAGAGGCGGTAAAATAAAAAACAAAACGCGATAATAAAACAAGTCGAAACGATTAAAAAACAGAACACGCAAAAAGTGATCTAAAAAGATTTATTATTACTTTGAACACAATTTATTCTGAAGGTTCCTTTTTTATTGTTACTCCGAAAATCAAGCATTATCATGTAGATCACTTTTTGATATGTAAGTCTATTCTTGACCTTAATATCAGAATTGAAACGAATATCGCAAAGAAAATCAAATTAATTCTACAAGTGAGAATATATATTTTCGTTTTCCGTGCGAGAAAGTCGACATTTGTCAGTTTACATTTGTCTCTCAATGTGTTCGCGCGTTGCCGCTCGTAAACTTCCGCTTGTATCGAAGAATTTGATATCCATATCGATCGCAAGCAATCAACGTAATCCCAGGCTATTCGTAACATCACGCTGATGTCGTCCTCGTAAATTTCAGCGCACGCTTATGCGCTGCCACGACCAGCCGGCCACTCGTACAACCCCTAATTGCCATTAGTTGGTAGCCACTTCTCTGAAATTGATTCCTCCGTTTCGCTCTGTGCTCTCTTCCCGACACACACGTGCGCACGCACGCACACACACACACGTCTGGGAACGAAGTTTGATAATCGTCGCTATATTATTTGCGCTTGTGAAAATTTTCATTCAGTCAAATAATCAACTTTTGCGTTTGCTCATCCGCCAATCGAGAGGATCTATTTGGTCGTGGCTTTAATGCCACGAGCGATAATGCGATCCGCCGTGAAAGCCGCTTTGTTGCGCACGCGATGAAGAATCGGCATTATCCGCTTCAAATAGACGCTTCTCTTATTGGCGACGTCTCGAGAGAGATTAGGTTTTAATTAAAACATGTTGGGTGCGATTACGTTCCAGAAAGAAAGAAAGAGAAAGAGAGAGAGACAGCAGGCAGCTCTCAGTTGTGCGCGCGAGGTGGATCTGAAATACGTATGAAGACCCGAGATAGCAAAGTGGCGCGAGTTGTATCGACGGGAGCATCAATTTGATACCGGGCATCGCGTGTACGTCGATCGTGATCGCGCCTTACGTTTCCCGAGGAACGAACAGAAAGGATTGTATCTATTTTCGACGTTCAATTAGAACAAAAGCACGCAAAGCCGGCGGTGCTATTGCCCGGCGAAATAGCTTGATTCCCGCGCAACGATATATAACTGTGAAATCGAGCCTTCGAACATTGCGATTCTTTCGTCATTCGTAATTTAGCGATCGCCGACAGCTTTGACAAATTGCTTCGCTCCATCGGTTCGCGTTAGATGTATCGCGCTCGCACAGTTTTATGTGTTTTTTTACGAAGCAACTTGTTAATTTTTGCAATTTTCATTCGAGTTTTGCAAATTGAAAATGTTACGTTTAAGTACAATCGAACGGAATGTCTGCTTCACAGTTTTTATAAGTCCTCAAATTGTACTTCTCATGCATGTTCTCACACATGTGGCGTTAAAGATGCGGTTCCCGATTGTAACTCAGCAGCTCGGTCACATCATAACGCGACATTCTTACGTCACGATGCTGGCCATGCTCGTTTTATCATCGTAATGTACATCACTCGTGTATTATCGACGCGCTGTACCCGCTCGCGATGGCCATTTGCGTACGCCTGCGAACAGCCCGGCCGTGAATTACAGTGCGCAGCGCTGCGGGTCGAGCCTTAATGGTTTCACGCGTGTTTACTGTAGCGTTATCGTTCGTTCGAATAATTCCTCTACGAGCCGACACACACGGGCGGCGGCACACTTATCAAACCCGACGCTCTTCGCACCTTCCTATTTATTTCCAGCCGGTTGAACGGCCACCTGCTCCGTCAGAAAGCGCGCTCTCCCGCGCGGCGGGCCGAAATCAATGCCGGTGGAGAGAGGCAACGTCGACGAAAAGCATATGGCTCTCGGCGAAGAGAAATCTCCCGGTCTTATCGCCATTGGGGAACGAAGTCGAGATAGCTCCCTGATGAATGACGATGATGTTCGTCCGCGCGCCATGGAAACGCACGACCCCGCCGGGACGGGATTATTAATTATTATCAAATGAACAGTCCCCCGATGCGCATGACCGCGCACGAATAAGCGTAGCGCGCGTGAAGTCGCGCGCCAGTGTGCGTACATTGCGTGCACACACGACCGGATGCAAATTAGCGCGATTGCAATTGGCAAGTCTAGCGAGCGCTTGCCGAGCACATCGATGCCGACTTTAATTCTTGAACGTACGCCGTATGCGGTACGTGGCATGAATCACCAAGAACAGCACGAAAAATTGCTCGCGCTCGGCTTTTGAAACAAAAATTTATGAACAAAGAGAACGTTTGCATGCCGCGATACAGACACATCAAGACCAGTTCGAAAGCTTCCGTCACGCCAGCTTCGTCACGCATCTCGCGTGTCTCCGCTTACTTATTTTTCACATTCTCACCGATCAAATCTTGCTACAAAAGGGAGAGAAAAAAAGAGAAAGAGAGAGAACGACGTTGTAAAATATAGAAATATACAAGTGTTTTAATTTACACTTTATTTGACTAGCTTTTTAATTTGTTTATTACAGCAAATTAAATTCTCTCAAAACACCTATTAGAACTGCTGTCTAATATTGAGGGCTGGACAAAACTGGGATTATCACGAACCGCGAAGAATCAAATTATATAATCGACTAATAATTTATTATTGAAAGACATTTAATTACTCCCTTCAAAATTTCAATGAGATGTATGTCACGTTGTGTATGTATTAAAACTGAATTAACGCATATTCGAGCACGCAAGAGAGCGTAAACTCACATTGCTTACTGTTATTTGTTCTGTTGAACAAATTCGGCGCACATCGAAATGTGTGAATTAATAAGCATCACCCGCAGGGAAATGTACGAAATTATTCGCACACGAGAACATGCCCGCGTCTACTGTTTGTATGACTAATAGGGTCAGTTAGTTTGCGCGTTACAAGTCTGCACAACTATCAAAAAGCTTTGTGTTCCGGTTCCTTGAAACGAAAACAAACAAAACAATCCCGTCGAATTTTGCCAAAAGGAACCGAAAGAATTATTTTAATTTGTCGTAACGGTTGAATGATCGATTGAAGATCTAATTTCAAATAAACTTGTATAAAACTTTAATTTGTATGCAGACCAGGCGATGTTCCTATTTGATATCCTATTTTTGATATTATTGTTATTATCGTGTCGCGTTAAACAGAGTTGGCGTGCGTTGCAACATTTATATCGCGGATTACATACAGGCCGGCCGCGCGCCGTGGTGGGTAGGATATTCCTTAACGCATAAAGGGTTTGTAGTAAGCTTTGTACGCTGGCGGTGGTGTATGCGGCAACGTGCGATCGGCGAGATCAATTGGCTGAGAATTAGCGCCTCTTACAGCTCCGTCGAGTACTAATGCTTTTACGCGTGTTTACATTAACGTTATCGCTGTTGGTTCGAATAGTTTCTTCTCACACCCTCGCGCGCGGCTTTACCTCCGACCAAAGAGAATGACGTTACTGGGTCATTACGCGAGTCGAACTCTCCAGCCACCGCTCGCACGATATCTCACCGTGCACTTTCTTACCTTCCAACACGAGGCCCATCCGCGCGTACGTACGATCTCAACACGCGCGCGTGTTTCCGTCACGTCTATCGACCGACTCCGACAAGCAACGCTCGAACACGGACGCGCTGTCGCACGCCAAGCCGTCGCGGGGGGGCAAACACATGGAATCGAAGCTGTGGGCCGAGAGGCACGCGATTCACTGATCCGTCTTGCAAGAGGCGTTACCGTTATCTCCATCGGCCAATCTCGGCCAGACGACTAATAGGTTCAGCACGTGAATACCTTGGCCCGGCTTGGGACCACGTGAAAAGGCCTTCGGTGCATGTACCTCCTGTGACCGGTGGAGCGGTCTCTTGAACAATGCGGAGTACGAGAACTGTCGAAATCAACCTGATACACAGCTCTCTCTCTCTCTTTCTCTCTTTCTCCTTTTTGACAAAAAGAGAAAAAAAATATTTATATTGCTCTTTATCGTGGAACTCGAATGTTTCAGTTCGTTCTCGTACATGCTATTTTATTTCGTGAAAAATGACAAACTGAAGATTTTTAACTCGCGGTAAGCGATGGTTGTCAGAATGAATTATGCTCCGCATGCTTGCACTTGTGACTAGCGTTACGTTTTAAACACGTTGAAGATCGGTGACTTCATTATGAAAGGCGCAGCGACACGCATCTCTTATTCATAAGTAAAATTAAACAACCCATTCGAGACACGATATCATCATCCCTAAGATAAAGGACGGAAAATACATGGAACGTTCTTAAATGCTTTTTTCTTTCGCGAAATGCGTCAGCTTGTCGCTAGTTCCACGTTCACCTCAACGTGCAAATGGAGAACTCTCGTACCTCGTTATGCACGCGATAATTGCGTACTTACATTAATGGTTACATGAAACTACGTATATATGCGGTACTTTACGTCCACCGGGCACGTTTATGTTTAACGACTGTACGCGGCAAAATACGGGAAAGTATAAACAATAATTTGTATCGATATTCGAGCCGATTTTCGAAAATAAAAATGTAACGTGCAAGATAATTGTTATTGTGATTTATGCGTTTTTCTTTTGTTTTTTGTTTTTTTGCTTCGCGATTCCATTTTCATGCCGAGATAAAAGAATATACTTGCGAACAACGTTAACAAATTCATCTACAGTTTTTCTCCGCTTTTGAAATAATCTCTTCTTGGGGCAAATTATACGACATTTATTTGATAAATTGCGATTTTCGTAAAAAAGGAAATAACAAAAACCTACACTGCACGAACATGCAACATTACGGAGATTGACAAACTGGGCCGCTTAAGTAGGACATTCTTGATTCATCACTCAGTATGGTGTAGTATGTATTCAGGTGTAATCGAAGGTTCGTTTTAAACATCATCGAGAACGCGGCCTTCGTTTTTCGCCCGAAGCAAGCGACGTTATGACTCAACTAATTCTTGCGTGACCTATTACCGAATTAAAATCTTTTCACTTCTCTGTCTGCGCACGTGTGCAAAACATTTGGCGTACTCGAATCATCATTATCATCAATTGTATTATATATATATAATTTTTTAGCAAAATAAAATATATTAAATTAGATTTTTTGAGCGTGTGTAGATAGAGAGAGAGGAGACCTATTTTTACACCCGGCGCAGAGTCATTTGGTTAATTTATATACATATGTTGAAATGTTGCGTAACGTCATAATATTGCTAATTAAAATTACGCCGTTATGACAGCATACGCAAATGCGACATTTAATGCGGTGTTTTGAACAAAATTGGGTCATATTGTGCTCATTCGGAAATAAAAACTAGAGTCAGTCGCAGAGTTTTTGCAGTGGGAAAAAAAAGCATGCGAAAATAAAAAGCAACGAGACTTACGATTCATATCGAGGACGATCAGTTTTGTCTCCGGTGGCACTAAATTCGTGTTGCTGGCCTGACAGATCAGTCTCGTCTTGAGATGCTCTCGGCCAATTTTCGGATACACCAAGTGGTTAAGCGTTACCTCGGTCTCGGCATCGTAGTGATAGGACTCGTCTATCACGGTGTTGTCGAGATACCACCTCAGCTTCGGGGGCGGCTTGCCACCTCGAACCTCGCAAATCAGGTTTACGTCGCCTCCCTCGTTGTACGGTTGCTCGACGTCCCTTAGTTTCCTCGTCGTCCCGTCCAATATTATCGGCTTCGACGGAGGCACTGTGCGAACAGGCGAATGCGTCGTTAGAATCCGGCGCGGGATGTTAATCGATCGTTTGTCAAGCGACTCGACAGTCAGCGCGCGAGCGCTGTATCGCGCGATGGTCGATGCACGGACGCAACTTCCGGCGCGTTGTGTATAGCAGAATTAACTGTTATAATGGCTCCCGAAACAGGTCATATAGTTACGAAGTACGGTGTATTACCGCGGCAGCTCAGTTTGCGAAGCAAACCACGGCTTACGTCGCGATTAATTCATGCGCCGGAAAGTGCCGAGTTTCATAAGTCAACGCACGCGAGAAATCGGGAAATGGCAAATCGGGAGACAGAAGGAACTTTTGGGCGCAATGAAATTCGAACGATTTTAATTTAGCGTCGAATCGCGCACCTCAAATACACGAAGGCCTCAAGTGGCCTCTCAGAAAAGAGATCTCGAAAATGGTTCTTGCGTGATACTTGACGCGACCTCCATTATCCACGCCTCGATCAAAAGGACTCGACTGTAATTGTTGCGCGCGATCGCCGCTTGATTGAGTTTCACCGCGACACAATGCGCGCTCACCTATAACGGTTAAGTTCGTCTTTTGTTTCCGCGTCGGCGAGTTTCTGAAGTCCACCCGGCACCGATAGATTCCCTGGTCCGTGCTTTCCAGCCGATCAATGGTGAGGTGAGCTGGATTCGTCGCCGTGACAAAATAAGCTCTTGGTCCCAATACCGCGGGCGACGACCAAAAACGGGCGTTGCTGAGTTGCCGGCGGTTGCGGGCGTCAACGCTGCAACACACAATCGATCAGTACGTCTCAGCGTGCACTGCTACAAAATATATCGTTGCAACGATATTCGCAACTGTCATGAAATTCGAGTAACACGGCTATGTAATTAATATCTGCTGTATCATTAATACCAGCGCCTGCTACGAAATATGATATGGAATTTCACTGTTTTTTCGCTAATAGAGAGATATCGAATACTAGAACGATTCTGATAAAATATCCGTTTCGTAACAAGAGTCAACTTATTGCCGATAATTACCATTTTCCTCGTTATTCATCAAAAACTGTGCCAATTTAATTACGTAAATTGCGTTGTAATTGCAGCTTGTCAATTAAAATAGTACACTGTCGACCTTACTGAAAAGGATATCGTCAATTGAATTAATTACGAACGATGTAAATAATGAGCGCACCCATATTTCACTGTGTGCACTGACTTGCAATCAAATGTAATACATTTTCAACAACTGTTGCAAAATTAATAAAATTAGAGTTATAATTTGTACAGTTGCACATTTATATCTGACATTGAAGTTTCGTCAACTTGGTTGCTTCGATCGTAAAATTAAAGTTTTAGAAATACAGATACGAATTTAATGAAGACGAGTGTAAAATGGAAACAAATTTCAAATTTAGAATCGCGAATTCGTCGTTCGTTTTTGAGATCGCGTTTGTGTCTGTCTATCTGCCGCGCGGAGTGGCTTCGAATCATCCGCGGAATTGCGATCTGGTAGTCGGACGTGTCTAGGAGAACCGCTCTTGGGAGCCATTCCCAGTGCGTGATTGCATATTAAGCACCCGGTGGTGAGCAAGGACGAGAACAACGAGAGAGACGGATTAGAGAGACGCGGTCGGGAGGATACGTAAGGAGAAACTCGCACGGGATAGAAAGAAGGTGATTTAGCGGAGAGACTCACTCTCTCTCTCTCTCTCTCTCTCTCCCGCGGCTCCTCGCGCGAGCGACTAAAAGTTAAATTGCGTTCCGCGACTGCACGGGAGTTCGGATTTTACGCTCGTGACTGAGTATTCCCAAAGCTATCCCGCCGTTGCGCTTGCTTTTCCGCGGCATTGACGTTGAAATACGATTTAATTCTTCCACTTCGCACTTCCAGCGGACGAGCAGGGCGCTTCCGTGACGCGACGCTGCCCACCGCCACCTCATTGCCTCGCCCTGCGTCTACGACACAGAGAGAGGCAAAGGGGTGGGCAGTCACGTCGATCGAGCGCGAAAACGAGTCGCGGATATAACACACATTTGGTCGATTTTCCTCGCGCGAGCGATAACCCTAAAAAGCGATTTTCCTATATCGGTTTTCCGACTTGAACTCCCGGCCGTTCATGAGCGACGGAATGACTTTCAAGATCGATTGCTCGCCTCGTCGATCACGACTTGAGAAGCTGATCCGTCGCCAAGACCTTCAGGGAGAAAGAGAGAAAAAGAGAGAGAGAGAGAGAGAGAGAGAGACATCGCCTACAGGCGTTTCTTCGTTATCTTGGGAGATTGCAGCGTAGATGAACTTCAGTTGCACTTCGCAAAAGCGATTTGCGAACGAAGTGGCGAGCAATTGCTAAAACGCAAATAAAATGTAGCAGAGCGGACTATTGTCACAATTAACACTCAATAAAATGTTTGTAGAACAATTATTGTAAGACAAACGCGTTCTTGCGCATCACCGAAGGAATGCGGTGCACAATGCGAAATGCACAATTAATCCTGATAAAAATAGAGTATAAAGTTTCAGCGTGCAACTTATTGTTGAAACATCTTAAATAACACTTAAGATCTCTGCCGGGAAAGGCGTCTTTCACCGCCTTCTATTTAGGTACTACTTTCTACTACCGAAGCACTCGCTAAGAAACCGATCACTTTAAAGTCTCACGCGAGGAAAGGAATTTACCAGGCGCTTCGACGGGTCTAAGTATCTTGAAACTTTCCTGTGCTGAGAAAAAGAGAAAAAGAAAGAGAGAATGGAATTGAAGATTCGATTTTGCGAAGTGTTATCTATTAAAGTAAAATGCGAAGACCGCCCGCCGGGAGATTGCAAATATTGCCGAACGCTTTTCTCAACCTACGCGCTAAATGTTCGATATTATAAGGTATTAAATTAAGATCTAATACATCACAGCGAAATATGCGATATCGTAAAAAATGCGGAAAATGCTGGCTGGCTGGCTCGACATACTAAATTTCAATAAAAATTAAGTTAAATCTTTGAGACGACGATACGTTCATATCTCGTCGATAGAAAATTTCGTCGAATTATTAAAATTAATACAGATAATCAAGAGACAAGAGTTGTTCGCTCTTGAATGAGTAACAACTTGGGAGAATCCCGTCGTGATGACACACGAGTCACCCATTCTTATCACAAGACGTTATATGTACAAGAAAATGAGATCTAGGAAAAAAGAATCATATCCGTCTCGTAGTTTCCTTTCTTTAACTGCACCGGCATACGTACGATAAGCGACGCCACGCAATAAATATTTTACTGCGAGGGAGGAGAAGAAGCTTAGGGCGCACGGGAACGACCGACGGGGGAAAACGCTTTAGTATGGCAGCCGCCTTTAAATTTCAAGTTCCTCGTCGCGGCGAGGATTAAACTGACTTTACAACAAGCAACGACTCGCGTTCCCCGTGCCGAGTGCCAGCTCGGCACCCAGTCGTTCCCTCTCTTACGCCGCCCTTGCGCCGAGAACGATGCATCGCGACTCCCCCGCACATATCTTACACCTTATTACATTTCTTAAATATGGCCCGCCGGATACTAACGTCGACTGGGGTGGGCTCTCCGATGCGCCGGTTGCCATTCTATATGCAAAATTTCACGGGCCGCGGAAGCGAAACGGCGACTTTCCCTCCCTTCCGCTCTCACGAATAGCGAATGAACTTCACAGTGGAAAATAACGCGAGGAATTTTGCGGATCCGGGCTCATCTCTTTTTGATTTTCCTGTAAAGGTGCGCCTTATGTAGACGATATGGTTAATTTTTTCGCAGTTGAGTGTTTCGGTACGCTTCTCTCGTAGCTAAGATGCATTTTTTTTGCACGTAAGAAAAAATTGTACGTTGTGCGTGATAAAAAAAACAAGGAAATTTCATGAGAGCTTATATCGACCGATATTTTAGAGAAATAAATTTTTAAATATTAGAGTTTTTCCGGGGTCTTACCTGTAAATCGGCTCGGTTATTCCTTCCTTGTACCAAAGCACCATGCTAACGTCGTCGTTATCGGCGGGATGAATATTGCAAGGAAGTTGCGCCTTCTTTCCGACAACGCCTTCTACGACAACGATCGATGCTACAACAAAGAAATAATCGATTATAAATAAAAAAAAAAACAGTTTTTTTTTTCAAATTGCTAAAAATATGATACACGTCCAATGTTCGAATTTTATTCATTCTGGTTTCAGATTGTTAGAAGTAAACTATGTTACGATTACACGCACTTCATATTTAAACTCGTATTTTTGACAAAAACGTCATAAATCCAAAGAAATCTTCGCAAGAACGCTCGACAGTCATATCCAACTATAATCAATCTTGAGTCTTTAACAAGATCTCTCCCTGAACGACACGACGTATCGCTAGATAAAACGTTGAAATAACCGCCGAGGTTCCCGATAGACAAGAAAATACCTGGATTAGATCTCATTACACAAGAACGACGATGTACACGCTGACGAGCTGTCGCTATCTTAAGAATTCGTCGTCTTCCGTCATGAGACAGACATTGATTAACGCAAGTTTGATATCGCCACGATTTTGTCCGCGCGATTAGATTTACATACAGATAGAGTTATTACTTTTTAACGAGAGTTGTCCTTTCTCCTTTGATATTGCGGCTGTGATCTTTTCCGATGCACGCCATCATAGGTACTTTTTTCACTCGCGTGTCACACCTCGAGCGGGAACGATCGCTTTCAGAAGATCGCCATCGATCATCACTCCGATATTTCGTCGCTTTCGACGTCCGCGATCGCAACAGCAGCGTCCAATTTCGACATCCACGGATCTTTCGTTCCCAAGCTATAAAGTGCCGATACTTGGAGCGAAGAAAGCGAGAAACACGGAACGGAACGGGAAAACGAATTGTGTCCGCCGGTGACATGGTGAAAAGCTCGCGCGCACTCAGTGTCTTCGCGTCGAGATATTCGCGGAGATATTGCGTAAACGCTCCGCGTGTGTTTGCCGAAGGGTCCAAAGGTGGTCGCGCCGGTCGAAAACGTTCTGAATGTGAAATTAGAATGCCCGCCGGCTTTCGACGGAGTGATATAGGTGATTCAATATGAAAAACGCGATAAGTCGCTCGCTCCTTTTTCGCCCTGCGCTCTCGATCTCACAACTCTCGATAATATTCCGACTTGTCGTCAGAAACGTCTGGTGTATTGAAAAGTTCCGATGTTTTATGCGCGTTACCAAATTGCAATGAAACTTCATTAATCTCTTACAAATGCTTTCAATAATAACGCGAAAGATATTTCTTCCATTCTTCAATATTTCACTTGCGCGCGTTTATCGACATACGCGACGAACATAAATCGTGCGCGATCGTATTTCATTCAATCAAAATGCCTTTGTTAAGGGAACACGATCGAAGGGCCACATTCTTTCCGTCTCATTTAATCCCAAGAGAAGTTCGACGCGGTCCGGAAAGAAACTCCGGAGGAGGAAGCCTCAGGAGCAAACGTTCGCGAGCATGACAAGCGCGCGCCGCGCGTGAAACAATTTCATTTATCACGAGAAAAATAGCGGTTTAACTCCGAGAGTGGGCGTATCATACATTTTCCGCGAGTTCGAGGGAACGTGGGGCGTTGGGCGAAATGAGGCGGTGGAAAATGGAAGACACACCGGAGGCGGGTCGTTCCTTCTTTGTCGTCGCCGGCGACGACGACGACGACGACACGGTGACACGAACACGCGAGTGTATTAGCGTGGATGAGGCACGGCGCAGAGAAGCACCAACGCTAAGTCGTCACAGACCCAGATGTACAGTTTATTGCAGTTCTCTGTGTCGGCACTTAGAGAAAATACAGTTGGAGCGCTGGCGACAACGTTGCGTCAGAGCACCGACCATCGCGTTTTTCTATCGCCCGTCGCGACGGGATTAAACACGCGGTTCCGAATAATGTGCGCGCACGCACCATTGTCGATGCTAAAAATTTGCATCGCGAATGGGACTACCGATGCAACGTCACGAGCACCCGGCAGGAAAATTATTACCGGCTAATTGGTAGAACCGGCGGAAATTGCCCGGAGAGCGAATGACCGCGGCGCTGTCGCATTAGAGTTCGCAGCGGTGTCACTCGCATCGAAATACGCGATTGCCTCTCGTAAAAATAATTTCAAATGTATTCCCGATAGCGTGCGGTCACACCGAGCTTCGTAATGTACGTAATGTACTTTTCCGCGCAATCGTGAACAAATCAATCGTCGCGCACATGGAGTTCTCACACTTTTTTCTAATCATTAGTAAAGATAATGCAGTCGTTTACTTGTGTAATTTTCACCTCGACACACTATCGTGACGGTTGTGATGTGCGCACGCCGCTGGCGTGTTTCTTGTTTCGTTATTACTTCATCGGTATTCGAGTTGTGAGTTATTATGTAGTTACGATGAATCGTTAACACCCACGTCGTTCCCGGTACAAATCTACGTAGTTGTTGGCTTCATAAATAACATTCTATACGTGGAAACTGAATTCATCAGCGGTCACTCTCTTTAACAAGCCGGCGATCGGAGGCGAGATCAAACGTATCCACCCTCGGTCTTTTTCCTTTTTCTCGCCTCGAGTGGAGGAACTATAAATAACTAATCTTCTAGTTTCCGCGAATGCGCGGGAGGGCTCTGAATCTTGAAGATGATCGCCTTGGGTGAGCAGGATGCCACGTTTATTTTCCTTTTTATTGGCGACGTAAATTTAACAGATTGTGTTTCTTTTTTCCTCTTTGCTTTTTCTCTCGCTCTTTTTCTCCTTCACACACGGCTACTCGCCATCGGGAAATGAAATACAGCGTTATTTCAACGATGGAGAGTGTACGCAGCTATTTTTTCTCAACTGATAGCCGCCAATATGTTACCGAACGATGAGAGATTCTAAAAACCTATATATATTCGCGCGCCTGCACCGAGAGCGCGAAAAATAGCGCGTGAATAGACTGTGCGTCAGTCAGGCATAATACAATCAATAAATCCCGCATTATCAAACTTACATAACAATGCGCGTTTTATTACATATTAAACAATATAATTGAGAACGGGATTTACTTTGAAATCTTGTATCGTGTAGTTGATTTTCCATCATCTCTAGCGTGTGATTATTTATTTTGACCAAGATTTTATTTCTTGACTTGGTTAACAACCGTTTTATACTTTACACGCATTATTTGCTGTCATCAATCTTTAAATTAACGTTTTAATTTATCTAATTACGTTAACTGATGAAAATCCAAATATTAGAATCAAAACGTGTAACTATTTTTTAAAATAATAAATTTACATACACCGAAACTTTATATATATTGGCTCGCATTTGACTTTCAATTTTCTTGTTTATAATTGAGGATTTCACAAAGTAAAATATTATCCTACAACATCGATTTTCTCAGTCAGTACAGCTGGAAATAAAAGAAGCTCCACATTTACGTTCCACCAAATAGACTTACGACAACCGTAACGGACCCACTCAAGATTTAAGATGCACAATTAACCGGCCAAATCGGTTAGCTATCCGAATTGTGTGTGTTATTTCTCCGTTTTTTTTCTCCCTTTGTACTATTAGTCAGACAGTAAAACGTACATTAGCGTAATCGTACGTCTTAGACCTGTAACTCCAGAAGTTTATTGCAGAAAATATAAAAACGACGCCCGAGGCAGCTTATCCGAACGAGACAGAGTAATTTTTCAAATGGTTTAACATTATTTTCGTATTATACGTGAATAAATGCTCATTGCCATAATGGATGGACTGATGTACTTCGTAAAGAAGATTCAATGAAACCGACGCATATGGGACTGCGTCAAAGTCAAAAGGTCTGTAAAACGGTATAACAGTTTTTCTTTCACGTATAATGTTTTTTCTTATCCTCAAAGCGTACAGTCGCAATTTGCATAAGCATAAGAGAGCGATTTAATAAAAACATCTAATTTTATATACCACAATAAGTAACAATAATAAGCCTAAAAGCACGATGCTAAAAATCTAAATCGATAAACGAAAGAGGCTTTCGAACGATGAACCCGTGTTAAAAAAAAATTAATATTCAGGGCGCTCGATAAAACCTAGATATAAAAATCATTTGTTACGTACGTATATATAGCATCAGTGAATCCAAGTTCTAATTTATATCAAAACGTAATCATTGTGATACATCTCTACAACGATAAAAATGTTTAATAATTTTAAAAATACTAACAAGAAAAATGGAAAAATGTTTTGACAAGTTTTGCTCTTCAATATAAATCTCTACATACACTATATCGAGAAAAAGACTAGAAATACAACAAAGCTGCTTGTCACAACGATAAGAAATTTTGTAATCTACAGTTCGCTAAAATAAAAACCAAGAGCAGTCGTTATTCGCAACTTCGACGAGACAATTTGAGCAGTGAGAATAATTTATAATTTTATACAGTGTTCAGGCGTTGCTGTTGAATTATATATATCTACAAAGCTTCGATTTTTAAAGTAGACCGTGCACTCCCTGTTTTACTACAGTGCGGCGGCGCGGTTACAGATGGAAAACCCTATTCGAGTATAGCGACGACGAGGTAAGAATCGATAAGGTCAGCCGCTTGCCTAATAGACCTAGCGATAAATCATCGTGTCCCCGAAACACGATCAAAGACCATTCAGCGCGGCAAAGTATAGGTCGACGTCGAATCAAGTACCTATATATTACTTAATCGCGTGCTTAATTCGTATTAATTACCGCAGCCAGTACATCGCGATTTTTGCTAATTATATAACTCTGCGATCCGACTACCGTCACCTGCCTGAAACAATTATCGCACACCCGGCGTCGATTTATTTTGTATGGTTTTTATCCCAACGGCTTTATTTGCGTTTAATAAACTTATAAATCGAAATTGCAAACAATTACAGCGTGACTTGTTGAACTTTAAATTGTGTCAAAAACTATGTAAACGTTTTCCCGACATTTATTATTTCTAGTCGCAATCTTAGCAGCACTTCTGTTATTTGTAATCAGATTTTAATTCATTCGGACGCAAGTCACTTAAATAATATCCTAACCTAACTTGACAAATATTTATCGCGACAAAGCGGATTGTATCGAAAT